CTCTTAAATCTGTGATTTAAATGCTTACTAACTAATCCCAACCATTAAAAATTCAAAAGACACAATCTATATCAACTGTCGAGTATGTGTGCAAAGTAGATCAGAAGACAATGTTAAGGGACTGTAATGCTTGAATTTTTCTTAAAAATTAAAAGGCAAATGGTGCACATGCCAAAAATCATAAGTTCTTCTTAAATATCAAAAATATGCCATTTATTAGCAAAATGAAGTGTTTGAAAACTTTTAGGTAGCTTAAAAGACAAGTGCAATGAATATAAATCGGTAACCATGGTATTTTACAAAAACCATAGCATCAAGCAATATATGTGAAAAATTCAAATCTATACATCTTAAAATCCTCAAAATATACGATGTGTCAGATTGAAAGACAGACAGATAGATACACACCAGGTAAATTGATTCCCAAGAGTCGATCTGATCTGCAGGCGACAAAAAATGGTGTGCATATACGTGTATTTGAATGTCATAACGACTTCATAGTGTAGTCATAAGTAGTCATAAGTAAAATACAAAGTTAGTTTGAACTGTGCCTTTATTTTGTAGCAAGGTTTATAATCATCCTGAAGATCATCCAATATTTCCAAGAATCAGCCTAAAACAAGGTATTATGTATGTAATAGAATGATGTTTTAATTTTGCATATCAAATGTTAAAAAATATACCATACACTAGTATATATCTCTGTATATTGATGTTAATCATGTTACCTGTTTGTTTTTTAAACTTATCCCATAACGTCCTTAGTTCTTTTCCATTATTGTCAATCGTCCTTGTTACGACCGTGCATATCTATCATCCAAGATAAACAGTTATTACCAATATACGTTTAAAAGATTATAAAAAAATGCGCATCATAATATCCATGGAATGTGCCATAGACTTTTGCAAAATACAACCTTAAAATATCAAAATATTTACATAAAGAACATTCTCCTGCATGATAGTATGAAATAATTTCGTAATTGTTCAAGGACTTCTTGACCTCAGACACCGTTAGAAAATGCCGTAGATTTATTCAACAGCAATAATGGTAGGGCGTTAAAACGACAAGATCAAATATACTTCCCTTCGCTGAAAAAAAATCTACATCACTAATTTCGCTTTACTTCCGTGACAAGTTTATAAACTTAAGTACTCTTTGCACTCATTGAGGTATTTTAGCGAAATGGTTCCCTGTAATACCTTAATCAGTCTGACTATAAAGTGAAACAACATGAAAGATAATTTGGGATTGTAGACCAAAGGTACACGACTTTCTCCCTTTCCCTTATATTCAACCCCAGAGGTTGTTGGAGTTCTTTTCGCAAATTATTTTCATTACTCTTAAATATCAAGTTAACCATAGAAAAATCCGGACCCCCCAAAAAATAATCGTTCCGCACAAAAATATCATTTTATACTGGAATACATTATTAGAAAGAAAATATACCATTTCGGGTTGTTAACATTGTACTCCCACTGATCTTTTTGGGTTAAAAACATGTAAAATATTACATACCACGATAAGTTTAACCGCGTAGATTTTAATTTAATTTTTTATTCAAAGATTCACAATAATAGGATTTAAAGTGATAAAAAATGTATAGACTAACAGGGATTGTTTGAAAGTTTATAATTTCTTAATATTTTAGAAATTTATTATTTGCATCATTTACAACGAAAATGGGTCAAAAAATATATTATACAAATAAAGGCATCTATTTTCTATATTATTTATTGTATTTAAACATTCAATGTAAATCATATACGGTACCAATTTTGATGCACTAGATGCGCATTTCGACAAATTATGTCTCTTCAGTGAGGCTCAAGCCGAAACGTTGGGAATCCAAAATGTTTAAGTAAAAAAAACTTGGAAGAGCTGAAAAAAGGTGCCAAAAACTGGAGCCAAATACGTCGAAGGATCAGAGCTATGCAGGAGGGAGATAATCCTTAATTTTGAAATAAATTTCTAAATTTTACCACAGCAATTAAACATATATCCGTATTTTTAAGCTAGTACCGAAGTACTAGGTTACTGGGCTGTAGAGACCCTCGGGGACTAACAGTCCACCAGCAGAGGCCTCGACCCAGGGGTCAAAATGTAAATCATATACGGTACCAATTTTAACACAGATTCAACCGTTTTTTTTTTTTAGCTGAAAGGTCAGCTAAAGGTCATTAGATTTTTCATGTCATATGGAATGAAAAAAAAATTGAAGCCAATCATATAATGCCTACTTTTATTTCAAAAGATTTTAAGTTGTTCTTTTTGTATAAAAGGTCTCACTACATGTGTATATAGGGTCTATCAGATGAAACTACCAAATCAAGAAAAACAATTAAATTAAAATAGATTTTGCTTGCTCCGACTTTCCTTTCTTCTTTTTTTTTTTTTTTTGGTTAATATTTGTAAATTTTAGTGGTCAAATAAAGATACCAAATGATTAAAAGACGGCTGTATAGAAAGAGAGGAAAAACACTCTTTACTTATTTTTAACTTAATTTTTTTCGTAGCTTGGAAGCTTTCCAAAGCTCATATGTTTCTCGTTTATTTAGAAAATCATATTTATTTAAATATTTTAAAACTTTTGTACATAGTTATTAATTTCAGTCACTTCAAAAATTTCGTTGAGTCTTGGATTGTTAAAAAAATAAACTTATTCATTGTTTAGTAGTAATGTTTTGAAGCAGTAAAGGAGAAATTTTCATACCCCGGTGCCCCCCCCCCCCCCCTCCCCAAAAATAATAATAATAATAATAAAGTCACTACTAGACTTCACATTCAGTTTTCCATTTGTACTCATTATTGTGCAATGATGACTTTGAAAAAAAGATACGGCTTTTCAAATTCCTTACATCTATATATATATATACGTGTAAGACATGTAAGTGCATATACTACAGTCCCTGAAACGTTCTTTTTTCCCATTTTTCCGTTCGCTCACTGTTCGTTCATCGTACGTTCACCGTTCGCTCTCCGTTCACAGTTTTGCATTCTGCGTTCACCGTGCGCTCGCGTTCACCGCTCACATAGCGTTCAGCGTTCGCTCTCCGTTCGTTCAATTTGCGTTCACCTTGCGTTCAGCGTTCACTTATCGTTCAGTCTTCAGTGTCATTCGGAACTCCGAAATGAAAGACTTATCTGTTTGTAAGTAAGGATTTACGTTTTTTTTTTAATTTAATAATTAACGTATCGTGTTAAAAGAATCGTTACTCATTGGAAAAAAATATCCACAATATTCTAACATTATTTTTTTTATTTTTCTAACTTTACTGTAAGGTTATTTATTAATCTACTCTGGGAAATAAATGTTGTTATAAGTATGTACCTACATGTATGTAGAAAGATGCTGAAAAATTTAATTGAAATACGGGCGATATAATTAGATACTTCAAGCACTGCAACATTTTGCTGTTATGTTATAGACAATAAATCGTTAACGGAGAGATAATTATCCAAGTTAATTAAGTTACAAACTTCAGCAAAATTACGAAAATATTTATTTCTAACACTGCAGCAAATTAAAATTACGAAAATATTTCCAATTACTAGAGAAATAGAACTAGTTCTGAGAATTATACATAGTACTGCGGATATCTTGTTCATTGAATATCTTTGGAGCAAATTAAATTGATAGTGTGGTTATATATAAAAAAATATTTATTTTAAATATAATACATGTACACTACAGATTTTCTCTACTATAATAATATAAAGTCTATAGTTATAGAGAAAATAAATTCTTCCTTCACTGTAATTTTATTTGTTTTCCATTCGATATGATTAAGAGCCCCCCCCCCCCCCCATTTTTTCCCCCTCCTTAATCGGTTACTTACAATGTAGTCAGTATTTCCAGTATATTTTAAAAACATTTAAGAAGGAGTTAATGTGTATTGTACCACAAAGATTTCAGTCTCAAAAAAAAAAAAAAAAAAAAAACAAAAAAAAAAAAAAAAAACATGCATCTAAAGAAGTAATTAAACAATAGGCCCCAGTACAATGTGGTTCAAAATATACACGTGACGGCGGTGGTATTTTGAATTGGCAGAGAGTATATTTCAAACTGAAGTGTTAATGCCCAATTTGTTAATTCCCATTGTATAAATTATTCATTTATTTAGAAATATTGGAATCAAATCTAGAAATGATTTTAAAAAACATTAAAACTTGTTGGAGATACTAGCACTTCGTCTTCTTTCACACCTGCACAGTGTCGAATGATTTTGATTGACAGGACAAACACGGACTTCGTGTGAACTTGAAGCAGGAAAAAAAAACGAGTTTGACTGTCAAACAAATGGATTTGTTGATAAAAAAAAAAGTTTCTTTCATTGCCTGATATATTTGGAAAAAAATGAAGAATTTTTGTTTGATTGATTGATTGATTATTGTTGTTTTACGCCGAGTCGGCAATATTTCAGCCATATTTCGGCGGAATTTTTGTTTGATATCGGTACAAACATTTGGTGAAGCCTGAAAGGGGGGGGGGGGGGCTAAAGCGGAATCTCTCTCCCTCTCATTTGTCTGTTTGATAAAAACTATGACAGCACATTGCTTAAATATCAAATTCTGAAATTTTAATCTATATCAAATAATGGACATTTGCAGATGAGTGAACTTCGATACATTTAGCGACTATCGAGTAAGGTCACTTCGTCGTGCAATAAAAATGACACTCAAATTATACAAACATCTCTCTTTAAAATTTTTTGGACATTTGACATTCTGTTTTTGCCAAGTAGGAAAAAAGAAATAATGCTTGTCTTCTGTTAGGTAGAAAAAAGCATTTGTCTACGTGCTTTTATTTATTAATTTCTGGTGTCTCATTTTTTTTATTATGTGTGATTTGAAAATCAATTTAAAAAAGAAAAGACGCCATTTTGTGTTCTTGTAGGTGTATTTAATTCATTACAATTAAACTTGCAAGCCTACGAGACATATTTAATTTTTATGCTATGCATTTTTAGCCAGAATAAAACATGGCTTCATACATCATTTAATTATCATCAGAGTCAGAACTCACTCCTAGAGCTTTTAGAAGTTTTGGTACTTTTTTGGTAATAAATGTATTGTATGCAAGGTGATTCTCACGAACAAGATCCATCAATGGTTTCTTTTTTGAAGGATTCCCTTCAGGCTTCCCTGCTTTCCTCTTACGGGATTCTTTCACACCGGATGACGACGTAGGCATCTCTGTATCTTCATCTGATCCAGAAGAGATAGTAGATACAACTTCTGCTCTGATATCTTTTTTCGGGTTTTCACTTTTATTGTGTGATCTTGGAAGAGTCAACCCCTTTTCCATTTTTTTGATTTTCTGAATTTCTGATCTTTAAATGAAATTAAGGAATTATATAAAATACTTCATACTTGTTTCATTCCATTTAATAGTGTTTATCTTTAAAACTATTTTTACCTTATGGCTGCGTTTTCTATGTTGGTATCTACCATCACCATTAATTTTGATAATTTGGTGCTCAGGCGATCCTTTAGTTGTTTGAACGTGCAATTCTTGTATATTCCTTGAGCGTCAGCAGGCAGCTGGAGAAGATTTTCTTTCATATCTGCTATAATGTTTTTCCACGAACACGGATGCAACTGAAAGCTCCTGAGCATCATTAATATTTCTTGATCAGAAATCAATACTTTCTTCCTCCTCTTTTGAATTAAATTTTCTTCATCTATAAAAACATTTTCATTTCTTTAAGAAAGTAAAATAAAATGTCGGTATATGAAATGTCAATGTACAGTAAAAGCGTGGAAGAAAACCTCTCGAGCACGTTTCACATTTACCTGGCAGACTTTTTTTACCTGGCAGAGGTGACACGTATACAGGTTGTTTTTATTATTTCATTTTGATAAACGTGCACATTGTTAAACAGTTGCGGAAAGACGAATACTTTTGATGTAAATATTTTGTTTACTCACCATCTGATAAATCAGGCAGATAGTCCATGCTTGTCATGATTACCGCGTAATGAAACAGGTTAGGCTTTAATAATTTAAATACGGAAGAGTATTGCTGTCTTTTTTCTCTCTTTTTGTAGAAGGTTTATTTCTAAAAGATGCTTAGTTGTTTCAAATTTTAAAGGCTAATAAATATTGCGGTTTTTAACCATTCAGATAATCCGTTTGTTCAATTAGTACTGTAGATTCCTAAATATACGCGAGGAATTAATTATCGCTTAATTACGCGAGAAGCACTACTCGCGAAATAAAATTACTCGCTTTTATTTTTATGTAGATAAATCATCCATTCGCGAATTACTGTTCTCGCGATTTGACGCCCTTGGGCCATTTCGCGATGTTAAGTACTCGCGTAAAATGAGGAATCTGCAGTATGCAGAGCAGACGATAACATAAAACCTCACCCCACCCACCCAGCAACCCTGTATACGGGGAAATTTTTTCCGCCGTTTAATTTTCGCCCCTTTCGCCCTCATGACATTTTTCACTATAAACGTTCTAACCGTTTACTGCATTTTATTTAGACAAAAATACTGACAATCTGTTGTTTTTCCAAAACAGAAATGGCCGACAATCATGTGGAAGACTATCTTTTGGCATCTATATCTGCGTTAACAACCCCTCCTCCTGATACTGTTAGATTACTGAGAAACCTTATTCCTGCCTTGTTAACCATTTTAACCCCACCTCCAGATCCTCTACTTGACATTCGTCACCGACTTGGTATCTTCAATGAACATGTTTGGTCAGGGAGAGATGTTTATGGGATGTTTTCGGCAAATACATATTCATTTTATGAATTCACTGGAGAAAGCTTAGAGTCATTTTTAGACATTGTTCGTGGTACTTTCGCTTTGCAGAGAATAAACCCTACACACCACCGGTTAAATCCACAAAACAGAACACTTCTCTTTCTTCTTTGGCTAAGATGTTACCCAACGTATCATTTTCTATCCTCTCTGTTTGATATTAGTGTCACGACTGTTAAGGAAGAAATCAAGGCACTGTTGATTCCGTTTCACACGTATTGTAGCTCTTATGTATCATGGCCAAGCATGAACGAATGGAGAGAAATGATAAATCAATGGTAAAAATTGCCCTATGCAGTAGGGGTCATCGATGGAACCTCAGTTGAAATTTACAAACCTACAACATAACCCCAAGAAATGTACTTCTCAGGGCATCGACATTATCATGCGATTCACGCCCAGGTTATCGTAGACAATACGGGACGGATTCGTTACCTCTGCTCTGGATTTCCTGGACATCAAAATGATGCCCAACAATATGCTCTCCTACCCCTGATTGGTAGTAGAGACCTACCGTTTCCGGATGAATGTGTTTTAATTGGGGACAAAATATACCCAAATAGGCATCCTATTGTTACACCTTTTACAAGGCAACAAATCGCCCGACAAATCCCGTTCATTCAACAAAAGTACAAAAGGTTCAACAGAATTGTTTCAAAATATAGAACTGTAGTTGAAAGATCTATTGGTAAAATGAAAATTTATCGTATTCTTAGTGGCATCTGGAGGCACCCGCGACGAATGTTACCCATTGTTTTTGACATTGTTGCTGGATTAGTTTCAAAAAAAAAAAAACATTACTAGATACATTTATATAAAAAGAATGCTGATTTTATACTCAATAAATAAATAAAATATGGCATCAGTATATCTGGTCATCTATATAAATTGAGCTCTTATTGAGCGCCATACTTTAAATCCCTCGATAGTCGCTAAACGTATCGAAGTTCACTCATCCGCAAATGTCCAATATGAATATATATGCCTCTTTGTAAAATCTTGTCCAAGTGTAATCACGGGGAAATGTCTACAGGTGCATGTGCATGTAGAAATTTGCATAATAAATCATCATAAAGAATATAAATGACACATAAAAATATTATTGCATTAAAAATCTAAAATGCGAGTATATTTATGCAGTACGTCCACAGACCTTTGTTATTTTTTTTTTTTTTTTTTTTTTTACACGGAATCACCTTGGCACGGAAATATATATGAATGGGTGTTACAACCGTTATAATTCATTCTATAAGTCAGAAGTTATCTTATTTGTACTGTTTTTTTTTTTTTAATATCAAACAAGAATAAACATATTTATTTTTAAACTAAAATAATTTTATCTTTTATATTACAGCGTTCGGTAACAATTACAATGTTTTACAGCGATAAAAATCGTGATTAAAAAGTTGAATTTAAACATCATACAAGCAAAAAACTTAGTTTTACTTAAGGACCCTCTCTACACTCCACCCTAATTTCAGGGTACTTTTGTGTACTTAGATTAACCCATCATTTTATATAGAAATAGGATAAATTTTAACCTGCACTGTATGCCATAATTTAAAATAAATCCAAGTTTTCCAAACATCATATTAGACCAAGATAGAGTAGTTGAAACCTTTATTTGCATGTATTTTCTCCATTTGAGTAAGCAAAAGCGAATTTTATTTATAATTACTTCATTATCTTTGAAGATTTTTCCTGGATACAAAAGGCACGCTCGCTATATTAGAAATGAATTATTTAATTTTAAAACATCCTCCTTTACGCTATATAATTATCTCAAAGTCCAAAAAACAAACAAACATTTTTCATCAGTGTATAGAGGGTCCTTAATGTGCATGTATCGTCTATAATTTCTTAGGACAATTTTGTAACATTTATTTTATTTATTTATTCATTAATTTGTTTATTTGTTTATTTTTTGGCACCTGCGATCCCCGAATACAATAGAATAGTTTCAATGCAAGGAAAAGATCAGAGGGATTCCGAATAAATCGTTCATCTTGCGTTCACCGTTCACTTTGCGTTCGCGTTTGCGCTCCGTTCGCTTTCTGCGTTCGCTCACCGTTCAGCGTTCACACATCGTTCACCAAGTTGCGTTCAGCATTCACACATCGTTCACTCACTGTTCGCTCTGCGTTCGTTCACCGATTGTTCACCGTTCGTTCAGCGTTCGCTCACCGTTCAAGTGGGAAAGTAGAACGTTTCAGGGACTGTATGGATATTTGGTTTAGTGTGATACCAGTGATTGGTCTCTATACCAATGACCAAACTCCAGGACAATGAAATTCATTGAGCTCACTTTTGATCTCAGTCTCCCCTTTCCAATATAAATCCCTTTTGTAAAAGTGGATCAATAGTGAGCTCATCTTAGTTTTATGGCCCAGGAACCTGAACATCTCAAGAAAATCTTATTTAGTCCAGCTCAAGGACACTGATTGCATCACTCGACGAAAAAAAAATTGGAATACTCGAAAGATGCATTAATTTTTTTTTCAGAACTCTATTAACTGTGGTGGTGATTAAATGTTTTGTGTCTTAACAATGTCTTTTAATAATAAGATAGCATTTATCGTGTTGTTCACAGCATCGACACTTTCTGTGCCAGTAGTACAGTGAATTTCTTTTCGAAGTCATTGAGATAAAGTATGCAGCGGTTGATGATAATGATTTCTCAAATAGAACCTTTTGACGGTGAAAAATAAATAGATAAATAAAAGAATAAACTACTTCAACTTTTATTATGATAAGCTGAATGACAAATTGAACGACCCTTACATCGTGGGGGGTATTTATGAGTCGAACGATTTTTTGGGGAAAGGGGTCCCGATTTTCCCATGGTATACATGATAAATAAGTTTATTGTCTAGCTAATAAATATTCTATATTAAAAAAAAAAAAATTAAAAAAAAATTAAAAAAAAAAAAAGTCTAGAGAATTTTAGCGTTCACTGTCTTTGTGTTTTATTGAACGCTGAGTTTGTATTACGTATATGAGTATGCCCGGAACATTCAGAATATGAGCGTTCAATATCAAAGGCCCGTTGTAAACAAAAAAACGTCGTCTAGTCAACCTCGGAAAGGCAAATTTATGAGAGGTAGTGGCAGCTAGATAAGTTTTGTTCATTTTCTCTCAAAATTGAAATTCTTAACTATTAATTCAGTGCGTATTAGCCTCAATAAGACCTCAATAAGCAAATCATAACGCTTGGTAGGGTGCTTGGAATGATGCGATATTGAACACTTATAGTACAGATCCTGAAAAAATTCTGATTAATGTGAGTTACTTAATTGAAATAGTTAATATAAAGCAATGGGAGGTGTTTTACCTATATATTTAAGGAGTTATTGAATTAATATTGGTGAATATTGGCACTAGTAGGAAGTATAAATGCAGGCGCAAGCTCTTGCATTTGAACAGTCAACTCGTGCAAATATTAACCAATATAAGTTCAATAAACCTATAGAATTAAGACAAATGGTGAAAAAAGTTCTTGCAATTTGGGGTAGATTGTCGGGGAGAGGGTGGTTGGGTTGGGAGTTGGGCCCTGTTCACAGGTACCTGTAATCAAGTTACGATCATTGATGTGAAATCCATTATTATGACAACCTAGGTAGGTTTAAACTCAAGAAATAAAGTTTTGATGAAATAATTTGAAACAAAAACATTAAAATGTTCTTTATTATACATGTTGCAGCACTACGGCCACTTACTTTAAAGATATTAGTTTATAGTAAAGCACAGATTAATTAATTCTTATGTGAATGAGAAATGTTTTATCCGGGAAAAACCTACTTGTAATACAGATTTTTGTGTTGGCAATTGCAAATTTATTTCATAAGCAAAGATTCACTTACCAATCCATGTTTGCCCTTCATACGTTGTTCTATAGCATTTTCCATAAGCCAAAGTAATGGAGAAAGAAATGGTCTAAATATTGGCCAGATGCTTGTGATAACAAGACTAACTGAACTCCTTCCGCTCTCACAATTATCTGTTTTAATAAATCCCGTTTGTTTATCTACAAAATATCGTAATTGAACAATTAAAGATTCTGTAGATTTGACTATTGTAAGTAGGAATATAACTGATGTACCGGTGTACCTAAATATATAAATAGGAGGCCTAGGGGCCACAACGCTAATTTGGGTAGCTATGGCTCTGCTGTTCTTCAACAGATTTTGTT